CCCACCCTCAGCTTATTGAGTGATCAAGTGAAGTGCGAATATTCATAAAAATGAAACATATATATGCGTGTTTTTGCTGTGTTCACCAGGGGCCGGCTGTACATGTGCGAAGGCTGGACAGCGCTATTCACCTAATGGAAAATTTTCATCCGCCATAAAAATGCTTTAAAAGCTATAAAACTATTGATATAAAGCCCGAAAATAATAAAAGAAACTCCAATTTATTAATACTATATATGACTTCAATCTGGGTTATACCAAAAACTGAGTCAGTTTTAGAATGCTTTAATGAAATCGTTACCCGGTACATAGCGCTATCCATAGTCTATCAACTAAACAGAAGTGTTTGTTATATGTTTTTGTCTGAGTTTATGTTAATTTGTGCACGCTCACGGTGATTGAGTTCATTGTATTTTTGAATAATTAAGTACCGTCTATAATAGGGATAGCTGAGATCATAGTTAATAGAGGAGATGGTTTGGAAACTCATTAGCATTACTATAAACCTCACTATCTATGTTTTTGTTCAGGTCTGCAAAAATGTGGTCTTTCATCGTCACGTGCGTATTGTATTTTTGCTCCACCAGCCAATAGCAACGGTTTTGTCCAATTGCCCATCCATCATTACTTTAACAATAGGGCATTTTGAACATTCTTATTGGTTGACTTGAGAAAAATACAATACGCACGTGACGATGAAAGACCACATTTTTGCATAAACCTGAACAACATAGATAATGAGGTTTATTGTGATTTTATTGTAATGCTAACGAGGTTCCAAACCATCTCCTCTATTAACTATGCTGAGATGCAACCACGATGAATAATAATAAAATTGAGACAATTATATACAGGATTTGTGCACGGCGAGGTACAGTTCAACATCAAACAAGTCAAAGGACTTGTATTTTGTAGCTTCGAAGTTTGCCATGATTTCACTGAGACTATCATGATATCTTACGTTAATAGACTATGGCTAAATTAAATCGATCGCAGAGCACAGGCTAAAAGTCGGCTCAGAAGTATTATAGCGAAGACTGAAATTCTTGGGTCCACTGCATGCATGCAAACGTACACGTTATGTTATTTTTAAAATACTTCTATTGGATTTGGTGGTTTAATTTCAAGTTACGTCAAAGCGGCCATGCTCATGGACAACTTCAAAGTATCGATGCTTGTCAGAGCAATGGATTTTAATGGATTTTCCTTTGTTATAAGGTATTTTGCACCAGCAGGAGACTACGTGGGAAACATCAATAAATACTGTTTGGAGCTCAGCAACTGCTACCAGTTGTTGTCTTTCTAGTTCCAAATATTAATATACCTATAGTGTCATATCACTGCGGTAGTAAAACTTTATTTTAGCGCGATACTAACCTACTACTAGTGCACGAATCGACGACTTAATTTATCTGTGCAGACAGATGTCACAGAATAAATGACAAGCCTTTAAGCCCTGAGGGCGTCTTGTTAGACTAAATGTTCAATGCGACGAGTCGATGCATGCTAATTGATAATCAGCTGTATAAAAATTTGGAACACGTACTGCTATTGCATTTTTCGGGACACCCTGTTATAAACGTGTTGTATGAACATGCTAAAAACGAGTGTACAGGCATTTGAAAGGTTAAATTTGTATGCCCCAATTAAAACGTTATTCTGACATTACGTATCCAGTATTTAACCTAAATTGTAGTGAAAAATAATTTTGGCTTACCGCTTTGTACGAAGTCCTCACTCTGTGCTCTCAGATCTTGAAATAAACAGTTGAATCAATTGTCTTGTATTTTAACTGCGTAATGCGTATTGACCGGAAAAAGTCGTTTCAGCTTAGTACTAAAGGACGACATAGTCGCTTGGCTACATGTCCACTAAATTTATGCAGTATAAACTGCACAAGTTACACAACATGAACTAACAGTGAAGTATATACTATGTCTGATTATGAACTGGTAGTAATCAAAGGTTTGCATGTTGAAACTGAATACACCCGATAAATAATTAGTTTTATAGATAACTGACAAACAATCGGAAAATTTCGCTAAATCTGAGATAAGAATATACACTAAAACTGCCTTAATGTTTTAACATAACTTCAAGAATAGTACCGATCGCCTGATGATATGCAATATTCAATATAGATAGTACAAAACCAGACGACTGTGATTCAGCTCCGACATTGGCTTGGGGGCCACCGGTCCAGTTGCTCTGAAAAAGCACGACTGCCCATATATCGACTTGCCAAAAACCGGTCATCACTATTGAAACATGTTAATATAAATCAATATATAAACACGCTTACCTGAGATAAGTCTTCTCATTTTATTAGGCGCTATTTATTTTATTAAGCAAGAGAGACTGCTCGCGCGGGGTGGGGAGATTTTCAAGTTTTTTAAAAAAATAGTTTTTAAAAGCATTTTAAAAAAGTTAAAAAAGTTTAAAAGATTTAAAAAGTTAAGAAAGTTAGAATTGGAGTTAGTGGTTAGGGTTGGGGTTAGGGTCAGGGTTAGTGTTAGGTGCAGCGAATTTATTATTATGATAAATTCAAAATGTGCCGCGAATTTATTATAATGATAAATTCGGACGTGTTTAAGAATTTACTCATATAGTAAATTCAAAGGTGGAGCTCATGCTTATTATTCTCTTGTAACCAGGGGCGGACTGGCTACCTCAAGGGTGCCCGAACGATTTGGCTAAATGTGGACCCTGACCCCC